GGCTGCTTTGTCCTCCTGGAGGAAGCGCCGGGGCTGCCAAACCGACCGTAGCGCTCCGGTGGAGCCGTCACCGCCCGGCGACCTGACGTTGCCGTGACCAGGTCGCCTCACGGAGCGCTCCTCTGCGCGGCGTCGCGGGCAGCGCCGTTTGGTGTCTCGTGGAGATTGTGCCGTGTGTCCGCGTTACACCGCGGTGCTGTGCCCGAGTCTGGGTGTTGCGTCTCATCTCAGCACGGCTGTGAGGGGGTTAAGGAAGCCCTGCGTGTAGTTCGGGGCCCGCTGCACGGAACTGCTGCACCAACAGCTGCGGGGCGCCAGCCCGCCGGGAAGATCTGCCCCGAGACCGCGAGAATGAACGTGCAGAAGTCAACGCTGTGGTAGCTTGTTCTGGTGGAGAACGAGCTTTTAGGCTCTACCTGTTTTAACAACAACCATTCTACTTTATGTGTTTAGTTACCATTGTAATTGTGTGTAGGGGATGGTGTAAATCATGACTCATGTGCCCCACCCTGGAAAAGAATTATTGATGTGGAAAAGCTACTGTAGAATGCCAGGTTTTTTGTTAACTTCACAGTCCTTTTGTCAAGGAATACTAATCAACAGGTGCAGTCTCGGCTTTGGCTTTTTGGTGATGATGGTCTGTTTGTTTTGGTTTTCTTCTCCACTTCAGCCTGAAAAACGATCCATGTATCTCTGGAAAGATTCCTGCTTGAAGTAGTAGTTGAGTAATACTGAACCCAGTCCAGTATAAGTTCCTTCCCAGGAGGATGTGCCAAATTTGGCTCAGTTCTGTGTGCTTTATGAACACAGACTGGTTCAGGGTTTGTCTCTTGTACTGCCTTTTCAAAATTGAGGGCAAAGACTGTCTTGAAAACTGTGTTTCCACAATGCCTGGTTAAGATGAGGTATGTGAGATACCTCAGTTTTGCTTCTGTGGTGGTCTGCTAGAGCCAGGAGCCAGGAAGGCACTCTACCTCTAGCAAACAATGAATTTTTGGCAGATTCTCCAGCACTTGGCTGGCCTGCTGTAAACTGCCTTATTCAAAGCAGTTGGTAGAAGAGGAGATGGTGGGTCGTCTTTTCCTTGGTTTCTGCAGCTCTATGTCCCTCCTGAGATGTCTCGCAAAATATACTTAAGATCATGTTATATACAATATACTTAAGATCATTGACTGCTTGATGGAGTCTTGGTAAATATGACTTGCATAAAAGTTTCCCTGTCTCAGGATGGCGAGTCAGCTGTCGCTATGAAAGGAGAAATAAATGGCTGGTTGGACTGTTATTGTTTGCTTATTTTGATGGCCACACCTGTGCACAAAGAGTAGCAAGAACCTCTCATTACAAAGCAGTGTTATATTACAGAAGAAAAAAATACTTTTAATTTACAAAAGGTTCCGAGTGACAATAGAAAACTCCGGGGGCTTTCTCTAGCTTGATGCCCTCATGTTAAGAATACATATTTCTTCTTTCCTCTCTCACTAAACAGCAGAGGAAGGCTTTGCTTGTGGCTGGTGAGAACAGTGTATGTGTGCCCATACTTGGAAGAGGAAAGAGAAATTATTTAAGTTACAGTGATCTTTGCAAGGATCCTGCACAGATGGTATTTCAAAGATGGTGAATCAAAGCAGTGGACCATTAGCTCTCATGATTCTGAAACAGCTGAATAGCATTTATGGAGAAGCTTAAATTTCAGCTTGAGTAGCCTAGCAGGCTGATTTGGGAAGGAAATTACTCTTAAATTAATTGCAATACTGAGTGTTCAGTGAATGCTTCATACATGCTGGTTGAAGACTGTAATTCTGTCACTGTAAAAATTTTGTTTCTATAAAACTAGGTTGCATTTTGATAGAAGATGTCACAAATGTAATCTAATATTGGTTGGCTTGCCTCTGTGAGTATGCATTTCAGAAATACTTTCTATAGGTAGTTGTTTTGGGAATTGTGTTTCCAGGAATTTATTGTGTGAAGAACACACAATAATGGAAAAAACCAACATAATATTTTCATTGATGAGGTGAAAAGGTTTTGGAGGAAAGGAGAGTTTTTGCCTCTTGATATACTTGTTATAAGGTTTGTACAGAAAAAAAATTGTGCTTCTGTTTGGATTTCTCTGTTTTAGCAAATATTGGGAATCTATGTTAAAGGCAGGCTACAAAGGAAAAATACCTACGAATGCTTTTCTTTCATGAAAAATTGTACAAAAAAGCTGAACCAATGCCACTGTGCAGGAACGGACTCCAAAAGATGTGTAGTATGGTCAGCAAAAAAAAGTAAATAATTCACAACTTAAAGTATGATGAGACTTTAATTGGTTTACTCCTTTTATGCCTTTAAGTGCTGAGTGATAAAGCACAAATTGAAGCATTTCTGTCATACCATAACACTGTCATCAAAACTAGAGTTCCATCTAGAAGCTAAAGCTTGGTAATTTGAGACATAAACCAATGTTGTTACTATAACATTGAAACCAGAAGTACCCCTTCAAATTATGTGTTTGTTAAAGTATAATTTTATGCTATAACTTGAATGTTTCATGGTGATGACCAGCACGTGTAGCTTTATATGTCCGTTGTTTATCGTCTAGTACTTTGGAAACCAAATGGATTTTGGCAAGACATAAAAAGGTGTATCTTTCTCTCCCTTTTTCTCTAAGATCTTAGTGGCTCCATAGCAACTCCAGATGTTAAGCTAAACCTTGGAGGAGAATTCATCAAAGAATCTACTGCAAGTACATTCCTTAGACAGAGAGGGTATGGCTGGCTTCTGGAAGTGGAAGATGACGACCCAGAAGATAACAAGCCTCTCCTGTAGGTCATAAGTATTTTTGGTTATCTGTCTTTACTAGTTGTTTTTGGGGAAAAAAAAAAACTTGTCTCTCAACTTGTCCTACACTCAGCTTGACAAATTCTTGACTCCTTAGTGTTTCCTGGTGCAGGAATGAAATAATTACATATCTCATTATGGGTTTTATTTTTAGTGTAAACGAGATGTTTATTATTTACACTGTGGGAGAGGAAGGAAGGAGGAAGTAAAATTCCTTGTTATTAACCTCTAGAAGTATAAAGCTTTTTTGCCTTTTTCTGCTCTTATCTGTTGACCTTTTCATGGTTTAAAAAATTAGATTGTGTTCTATTTATCTTTTGCGTTGATGTTGCAAGTTTCTTCATCCTATTAAGGAATCAGAGGCAAAGACAGTCCTGTGGAAAGACTGTGTTAAGTAAATCTAAGTAAATTCTGTCATGTACTCTGAAGTGAATGAATTGTAAATCATGCTTATTACAGTAGGGATGATAGAAGCAATGTAGCACAATCTTTGGTGCTGTCATCTATTATAAAGTTAGATTAAAAGGGTGTTAATGTTGAAAGACAACAAAGCCCTTAAAACAGAAAGTATCAACATCCCTTGTTCTGTTCACAGGAGCGTGGTTGGCTGAGGAAAGTTTGCATCTTAAGGTTACTGCACTATGAATCAGGCAGCCTGGATCGTAGTCCTTGTTTTGCCCTTAAGCATCTTCATTCTCTGTGTCTCTGTGGTTTTTTGTGTGAATTGAAGAGAATAATGCTTTAAAAAAACCTGAGTCATGAGAACAGTACTCTGGAGAACTCTGAGTGTTGGGAGAGGACAAATATCTGGAGAGTTTAATTTAAAGTATTTTTCAAGTTTCATAAAGTGTGCAGAAGAAGCTCCTTGTGTTAATAAATCTGTTCTGTAAACCTTTCCCTTCTCATTTAGAGATGGAATGGTGTACTAAGGTGAAAACATATGAACCTCCTTTGTGTAGCCTTTTATACCACCAAAACCAAGTTTGTGAATCCAAGACAGCTAGGTGTTCCAAGCTGTTGATTGCTGGAAGTGAGGAGAGTGTGCCAGGCAAATTGTTAGCTTGGGGCAAACAGGATGAATGTATCATCCTAACAGAGAAGACCTTAATCTGACTTTCATGTAGCAGTTTTTATTCAGTTCTGATTGTTCCCAGAACACATTGTTGTGAAGCCTTGCAACCTAAGTCCTGCTAAGGATTTAAAGAATAGCAGCCAGCTGAAGGAATTTCACCAACATGGTGCTACTGCGCAAACATCTTGTTCAATAGAGTGAGATTTATTTTTTTCTTTCTTGGGCGGCCATACTCCAGACACTTGCTTCCTGTTACAGCTACCACCACATCTTAGGTGAGCTAGCTGTCAGCTTCATGCCAAAGACAGTTTATTCACATGAGAAGCTGTCAGAAGCTTCAGGTGATTACAAATAATTACTTCCAGACAGGAAATATTTGTTCTACACAATCTTCAGAGTAAAATACAGGAATGGTACAACCTGTTTAAATGGAGGGAAGCAGAGGCTTCTAGTCTACTCCTCAGGTTCAGGGATGCATTAAAGAACAATTTCTGTTATTTGGTCACAGGTTAGTAATACTAATTCTGAAATAGTTTCAGTAATAGCAATCCCAACATTTCCTTGAAAGACTCAATGAGCAGTATTTATTTATTTTAAAGAGAAATTGTGGTGAATTATGTCTTTGTGTTTATTTCTTGCTTCAGCTTTTCTGAGGAAAAAGCCATAACTCAAAGTCTTGTACAAAACTTTCTTTAAAGGACCTAAGATAGGATTCTGTTTTTCTCCACTGCTCTTAAAATGTAGAGCAGAGGAGCATATGCCAGGAAGTTTCTTGCAGCTCTTCAGAGCTCCTCAGTCGTGACTGCATAAGGAAAACACTAGCATACAGTTTTGTCCTAAGGTTCCATGCATAAACTTAAAGAAGTAAAACTGCCCATGACTTGGAAAGTCTGCTTCCTTCCCTGCTAGGGTAATCACAAGATGATCTACCAGTTAAGAGCCTCCCATGCAGAAGAATCTTCTGGTCAATTTGTAGCTGCTTACAGATAGTTTGTAGCAGGGAGTGGAAAAGGCAATTGGAGAACATCCAGATCTGTTGTTAGAATTTATTCCTAGTTTAATTTGCTTTTATTTATTTTTACCTATATTGGAAACAATTGAACAATTAGTATAATGTGGGTTGCTGAAAACTACTGTTGTTGAAGGAAGTAAAACCTCATTTTATTAAAAAAATAAAAAGTTTTACCTGATGTATTTTGAATGGTTTAGGTTTAGTAAATATAAAGGTATTCTTTCCTGTAGAGTTCAAAATAAAATCTTTCCATAATGAGTGTGCTCATGGCAGACTGCTCAGCATAGGAATACACAGGCATACTTGTGTATGCATGGCT